CTCTTGCTGCTGCTGCTGTTGCTGCTGCTGCTGCTGCTGCTGTGGGCTACCTCTCCACAAGCAGCCACCCGCGCTTCGGGCTTCTTATCATTTCCATTAATCTCCTTTTTGTCTTTTCTTTTTTGTTTTTTGTCTTCTTTTTAATCTCCATTCGTTATCTCTTTTACTTTCTTTTCCTTATTTCTTCTTTCCTTTCTTTTATTCTTTTTTATTTGCCCCTTTTTGCTTCGAAGTATTCCCCCAGACTCCCTCTCTGTGTTTGCTTCCTTGCACCAATTTCTGTCTCAACTTTCGACTTTTTTGGCCATTTTTTCTCAACTTTTTAATTTATTTAACTCCAATTAATCTCTTTTATCTCCTTTATCATCTACTTCTCTTTTTTTATTCCTTTTTCCCTCTTTTTCTTCTTTTTTGCCACTTTTGTCCAAAATTCGGACCCCCAGCACTCACCGCTCCAAAGAAAGGCCCCAGGCTATCACCGAAACCTCCGGGGGCAAACCCATGGGCCCCAACATCTCGGGGCGGAACATTCCGCTGTTCCCCACTTCTATCCACCTACGCACAAACCCTAAACCCTAAACCCTAAACTCTAGGCCCTGAACACTCCCTAAGCACTAGGCAGACACGTGGGCTCCAACATCTCGGGGCGGAACATTCGCTGCTCCCCACTTCTATCCACCTACGCACAAACCCTAAACCCTAAACCCTAAACCCTTATCCCCCAAACCCTAAACCCTAGACCCTCAAGAAACGTCCATCGCCTACCGCTTAAGCCCCGGGTGGTATCCGAAGATTTCCATCGATGGCTCGGTATAGGGGTTGAACGTCGGCTTGAACCTGAACCCAAATGCAAACCCTAAACCCTAAACCCTAAATCCTAAACCCTAGATCTAAACCCTTAACCCCAGGCGCTAGCCCCCCATTCCCGCGTGTCTAAACCCTAGACTCTAGGCACGAAACCCTAAAAATTTAACCACCGTCTCCAAGTCTTTAGCCGCAAACCCTAAGCCCCAAACCCTAAACCCTAAACCCTAAACCCTAAAACCCTCAGGCCTTATAGCCCAGCGCACTTCAGCTCTTCAATGCCAATGGCTTTATAGAATGTAACCATCACCCCCATGAGGTGACCCAGAGAGAGGTTTTCGCCGGCGACGACTCCTTCCACCTGCGCATGAGCCCCAAACCCTAAACCCTAAACCCTAAACGCTAAACCCTAAACCCTAAGCTGCAGCAGCAGCAGCGCTTGCCTGGTGAAACTCCGCCAGGTGCGTCGCGTCGAGGGTTTCGTTCCGGAAGACTCGGTCGATCGAGAAGAGCTTGCGGGGTCTGAAGACCCCCGTCTGAATGAAAACCCTAAACCCCAAACCCTAAACCCTAAACCCTAGACCCTAAACCCTAAACACTATATTTCGAGCGCTAACTCCCAACACCCCCGTAGACGGCACAGAACACCACTGGGGGCCTCGACCTGCCCGTTTGCTGCTGCCGCTGCTGCTGCAGGGGGAACCGCCGCAGGCTAA